TGAAGCTACTTTATAGTTTGACTCTAGATGTTAGTTGACAACATGCTCTGCCAATGTAATCAATTGCATCTGTTAACTGAAATCAACTTTACATTTCTGACATTATTTTATCAACGGCATTTAATTATATTCTGTCTCGTTTCATGGAGCTTTGCACACATGAAGCCCAGACCTGCTGTGTTGGCAGTGATGTTAAATATGAGGCTAAAAATGACTAAATATGCCACAGTTCCACCTTCACCTGGCCAGCGGCGCCATGAAGGTGCCGTAGAGCCGGTGAGCCTCCGTGATGCCGCCTGCTGCAAACCGACGCATAAAGCGCCAGATGTCTGAACATCGCTGCGACCTGCGCCTGGCCCCGAGCCTGCGGGCTGCAGCGGTCCCGGTCCACGTACATCACAGAGGGCGGTGCCGCTCCCGCCTCCCGGTAGCGCCTCACCAAGCCTGCTGCCATAGGCCAAAGGCCGCGCCCCTCCGCGGCTGCAAGGACAGACGCCAAGACCTGGCCGTGCTCATTGCTGACATTGGTCCAGCAGCCGGCGGTGTTGGCTGCGGCACCGGCCAGCTTCTTGGTGACCTAAAAAATGAAAGCAACAATGCAAATGAAGCCAGAGAACCAAACTGTAAATTAAAACTACATTCAAACTGTTTTGTACCTTTTTGGTGGAGTCCATTTTGAGGACGGAGCCAAAGACAGATGTAATTTTGGCCCTGACCTCGGGCAGCCGCGAGAGCACGTCCTGGCGTACGCGGACAGCGGCCACTTGGGTTTGGGGAGAAGCAGCAGAGGCTGGAGAACAATGGCGGCTGGATGACGGACGAGTCAGCAAAGGGCTCACAGGCTGTGAGATATTCCTGTGCTCCTCCGTCAACTTGTGATTCAGCTGTGTGACACTGTTCCCCCGGCTCCTCTCCCGCATCAGCACCACCACGCGGATGTCACAGGCGTATCTGCACATGTGTCTGTGTCACGTGTCCTTTAATGCCAGTGAAGCATGAAAGTAGCCCTTTACATGTTACACAGCACAAGCACATTCAAATGCATTGCTGTTATCATCAGTGTGCTTACCTGTATGTGAGGACGGCAGGAAATCTGGTGCGGTGCCCCAGGTCCAGCTGCCTTACGATGTCCTCTGACCAAGCCGGTTCTTCTTCTTGCATCCTTTGCACTCCAGATACTCCGTGGCCAGGTCATACCACCCGTCCATGTCCAACACCTTGCGGACGGTCTGCTGCAGGCCGGCTGGACACAGACAAGTGGAACGGACCACATCTTTAGGGGCATCCAGAGAAACAAAGGGCGGGAGAAGAAGACATCTGCAGAGGCCGGAGGCTGAGTGAAGACAGTCGGGGGCTGAGGTGGATGCCACCAGAACTGAGGATGGGGCCTCAGCTCCGTCTTCCCAGTTTTTGCATTTCGGCAAAAAATAGCTTTCCTGATCCAGTCCTGCTGGAAGGATGGGAGGTGCTCCTTCCAGCGACCAGGAAGCTCTGCAGGGGACTGCAACACGGGGATGGGAAGACACACGGCAGCAGCAGCAGCAGCAGCAGCAGCAGGAGCATCTGTAAAATAAAACACAATTAAGCACACATCATCAACACATCTGTGTGTCCTGATTTGTTCATTTTAAAGTGGACCCAAATGTAGAGACAGAGGCTGCAGGTAGCTGATGAAAGTTTCATGAAATCAATAGTTCTAACTATGGCAGAACTACTACTGAGCAGATTGCTGGCAGGTTGCAGGCTGAGAAGAGAGAGAGAGATAAATTGGCACAAAGGCGAGAACACAAACAAACAAGAACTATTAATCCAACAATAACAAATAATAACTGGAAAAACAACATACTGAAGGGCTGAAGTAAAGTAAAACAAGAACAAGGCTGGTCTAATCAAAGAATAAGTCAAACAGAAATCAAAACTAAAATTACCAACAAACACCAGAACAAGCCAGGACCTGACACTGTGTGCATGACCCGGTACTCACCGTGGGTAAAGAGCCGTCTCCGGGCAGCGGACTCAGACAACGAGGGACTGCAGCTGTTAGAAAAGATATTTTTTAACCTCACACGCTGCATGAGGTTAAAAAGGATGGTTTTGAGGATCATTTAGTACGTACAGGTTTTGGATGGAGAAAGTATTTTGTGTGCCAGCTGTGAAGGAGACAAATGCTTCCCGTGTGCCAACAGGGCCTTTACAGTGGCAGCCATCAGGGGCCTGTTCTGACTGGCAGCAGGTGGAGGAGGATGCAGTGACGGTGTGCAGGTGGGCAGGAGACGGAGCTTGTCTCTTCTGCACGTAGGCTTTGAAAAGGGCCATGTTGGTGTTCGGCCGGGCGTTGGCCTTCTTCAGGTAGCTGATGAAGCCTGGGCCTCCCTGCTGGGGTACTCATACACCTCCTTCATGGACCTGCCTTTAAAGTCTCCCAACTCAGACACCCAGAGTCACCAGTCTTCTGGGCCTCCAGGAGTACAGCCTGCTTCCTCAGGAACACCTCCACAGCTTCCCACTCCTTGATCTGGGAGCTGTACTTGAGGAGCAGGTGTTTATTGGCCGACAGCGGGTTGTCCTTCTCCTCTTCTCTCATCATGCTGCTGACCACTGCATAGCCCAGTGAGTTTTCAAGTATCCATTGGAACCTCTGGCCCTGGTACTTCCCAAACTGAGTCTTGCAGTGGGCCAGAACCAAGAACTGGTCAGTCGGATCCCCTCCACTCTGCCTCACAAGAGCAGTGGCTTCAGCCAGAACCTCCTTACGGCAGGCCCTCCCTGCCACAGCACCTTCACTCCGGTTTGCCTCCTCAGTTGGGCCCATAAGGAGCTGACCCTGAGGAGTTCTGCGGAGATCTGGATATGCATGCAGGTTCTGACAGGGAAAAAGCATCGATAAGTATTCAAAATTACATATAAATATCACTTTAATTAATAACACAATCATTACACTGGATTCATGCCGCTTTTTTCACTCGGCATACTCTGAATCAAGACCACATAGCAGTATGATTTATTATAAAATAATGCAGGATGTTATCATTTGTAGCTCCGTTATGTTGCCCACACTGTGGACAGCAGGACCCGGCAAAACAACGCGTTGCTATAGGCGGACAAAAATACATTTATTGATGACAAGAAATAACACATATTGGTGGAATCGTCTTACAGAATTATGTGCAATTTATATGTTTTCTGTTTTTTGGCGGGGGTGGAAAAAAATCCCACAGGAAGCCCCGGTGTCGTTCTCCTCCCCGCAGTGACGTTACGCTAACTAATAAACACGGAATCTCATACACTGAGCTGTTGCAAAGAAAAACATATTTAAACTTACCGATCGCCAAACTATTTCAAAGAATTATTGATTGAAATGATCCTAGCTTCTGTCTCCTAGCTTTTCTAATGCTCCAGATCGTGGAAGCTGATTGGTCAAAAGTAAGCCACAGTGAGCCACCAGCTCGGGATGTGATTGGCCCACCCGGACATGAAGCAAGCACCGATTGGCTGGCGTTGGGCTTACTTTGAGCAAAGTAAGCCCTTCTCCGCTCTAACATTGAGATGCTGCAGATTATGAATTTATTTTAGAAGTATTCTGACTTTATTCTCATTACAATTTTATCCTTTTAATATTCTAACTTTATTCTTGTAATTTTCTGATTTTCTGTAGTTTTCTGTAATTCCTTGTTTCAGTTGCTGCTTTAGTTTCTTCTTTCAGTTATAATTGATGGTTTCTGGGATTTTTTGGGTCATCAGAAGGGAATACACCAGGGTTTCTTGTGTTTTGTTGGGGAGCGGGTAGGGGTTTATTTGCAGTATTTATACTACATTTGAACGTTGGTTTGTGGGTTCCTCCTGCCCCAGAAACCAGAGTAACGCTGCTGAGAACTTCAGGGTTACTGTGGGCGTTGCAGTGCTCGGTCTGTCCAGCAGATGGCAGTCATAGACCAGACATCGGATGGCTCCGTTTAACCGCAGCAGACCGTTTTTTTCCTGTAGTTCTCAGTCAGTCTTGCCTTATGATATTAATGTGCTCATATTTACCTTTCACAATCACATTTGATGGCAGGGAGAGCTTTGAGTGTGCCATTTGCTGTCAAAGCTCTGGTTCTTGTGAATTCAGCTGGAGGGTTACTTTGTAATGGAGTCCATGATTACCCATCATGCATCTGTGCATAGAAACGACCAAGTTACAAGAATGAACAACAAATATGTGGATAGTATATCTTTTTAAAGTAGTCAAGTACAAGGAAGAAAAAGTTTATTTTACAAAAACCTTCATGTTTGGAGGTTTTCTCTTATGAAAGTGAAAGTAAAACCGCTGTGGAGAAGGGGGTGGACCAGAGGACTACAAATACTCCTCCGAGACGGTGTGCTACTGTCCTAGTTCTCTAGGACATATACTAAAATTGGAACGATACAGAGAAGATTAGCATGGCCCCTGCGCAAGGATGACACGCAAATTCGTGAAGCGTTCCTCATTTTCTTCTTTGTCCAGAGAACAAAGAACATCTGCGAAGACATCCCAGAACAAAACGGCCCTGTCAAATCAATTATCGGTTGATGAACACGTTTCCTCCAGAAGCTCACTTCCCAGAACCTTTAGGTAGGTTCTTCCACCGAGGAGGCTGGCAGGTTATGTGAATCACATCCTATGGCGGTCAGTGGGTTTGTACCACCACCCCTTCTCCATTGGCAACAGCCTCATGCCATTCCCACATGCGTCCACTAGGGCAAACATCATTCAGATCCAGTTTGGTGCCAGTCGGATCATTCATGTGCGAGTTACAGCCAACCGTATGGAAACCGCGAGGAATCGCGAGACGCCACTCTGGTTTCCCCACACGGCCCGTCCACCAATCAGCTTTCAGCTTCGACAACACCTTGTTCTGTCGCCAGATTCAGTTTGAAATTTCTCAGTCAGAATGTAAAAGACGATGTCATCAGCAAAATAGTTGACTGCCAAGGTAGGAGGGGGCAGGGCTAGGGTGATGTCACCAACTGGCCATGTGACCGTGAGGTGTGCTGCCCTGAAACAGAAAGCTTCATAGCGCTGGGAGCTTGTGTTATTCCACCATGTTTCGTGGCAAACAGTCCGATTTTGAGGCTTGGCCACACCCACGTGCTTTGTTGCAGAAAAAAGCTTTTGATAACTTTTCATCTCTGATGCCTCAACAGTGTGCTGAGTGATTTTGCAATCTGGATATCACAAGGTGTAGAACAAGTATGCTAAAATCCATGTGTAAAAGAGACAAAATGGTGACTTTGATCCAAAATGACCGTCTTCCTTTGTCATTTGGCTCCAGGAAACTTTCTTGTATGTTCCGAGAAGCCACACAGATTTTCCAAATGTTGTTATCCTTGGTCAAAAATTTAATTGATTCTTTTCTTCTTTTTGTTTTTTTCAGCCTCAGTGTCCGTCCGTCCGTCCGTCCATCTTATTTTCTGCTTATCTGGGGTCAGGTCACGGGGTCAGCAGCCCAAGCAGGGAGGCCCTCTCCCCAGCAGACGTAACGGTCGGACCGTGGGGAGGCAGAGGAGAAGAGGTTTTACCATTAGACCAAACAAAAAAAAGAAACCAGTTAAACTCCAGACATGACCTTCAAATTAAATAGATTTTTAGATATTTGTCCTTTGATTGTGGCAAATTTTAAAGTGAATAAATAGGTACTTTATTGTGAGGAGATCTGGTTCATGCCCTCTGCATTTTCATACAAATGCAGAGGGCATTTGTGTCAAATTAAATTTGACACTGAGACTTAACAGCTGTAAAGTCTCAGGCAGAACAATTTCCGCTCAGACTCACCAATGACCGTCTTAGCTTTTTTCAGTTCCCTACCCTAACCCTCAATTTCAATTATAATCACCTGTAAGCAGCGTTGGAGGCTGCTCAGCGCCGCTCCCTCAACGCCACCTGCTCGCCACGTAAACGCTTTCGTGCAGATCCTGCATCTGTCCACCAGGCGATACACATCAGTCTGTCGACTCATCCCTGATGATGCACAAAAAATCTGGTGCAGATCGGTTGATGTATTGAGGACACAGAGTTGTTGGAATACACTAGGGGCGCTGTGGAGTCAAATTACAATTTAATGCTATTGAGCTCTCCAGAGGTTAACAAAGGTCAATCATATCAAGCCTAGTGCAAATAGCATGATGCATGTATCATTTAACATGTTACTGTGTGTTGCAGGAATTACCAGATTCAGAGAAACTAGTTAATTAGGAACAACAGTAACGTGAAAATTAAATTTGACATTGTTGATTTATTGCAAAATAGTATAGGAAGCAGAGGATATCAGGCAATATTAGATTTTTTTGAAACAAATAAGTTGTATGATAGTATCACTTCCACCTGTTCTTACTGGCAATGAGGAGTTTGTTGCACTGCTGGTGTTCAGTCATCTTTCATGAAACTAAAGTTGTTCTTGTTACAGCTGCACTTTGTTTCCCTGCAGTGACGTGCGGTGAGGTTCATCACTGGTGAGGCTCTG